ATCAATTTCTCCTGCATCGTGAAAACAATTCACATACATACATTTCACGAGAAAATACTCCCAGACACGGAAAAATTATTTGTAAGCCATACAAATACATGCTCCTGTACGTCCGTGCTGGATTCAAACCCGCGGCCGTCAGCTTCAGCTACCGCGCCATGGGGCCGTCTGCACTGTCCTTTAGTCCTCTTAGAAATGAGTAAAGGTCTGTACACACAGGTGTGATGTATAATGCGTTATTATACTTCTAAGTTAATAAAAGATACATACAGTAGAATATATACATACTTTCTCCTAGTTCATGTATCGTTCGAGTGAAATCTCAAGTGCAACTTAAGCAACTTTATAAAGTGCGCTAGCTGAACAATAAAGTTACTTCAAAGCTTTAAACTTGTACTTACTCACAGCAGCTGTATCTATGCTTTTTGGCCACGCAGTTGTACCAACAGATATATTTTTTTAAATTTTATCATAAAATATATTTAACGTGTGGTAACGACGAGTGGCAAACCGTTATCCCGTTTCATCCCGTGTCATAAGAGTCGATTATGGGATACGCCAAAAATATCTCATAGCTTAACGATAGATGGCGGTATAGCCATTTTGTTTACGCCAGGCGTAAAATACCTAGACTGCGGAACGTCTGATACTGCGTTAGTAATCAACCTACAATTTTTCAGTTATACTAAATCACATGTATATAGTTGAACACAACATCCTGTATTCACAAACGTTACTGTTAAGCGTTAGAACGCATTAGGTGCAAAAAAGCTTAACCATAAACAACACTTGAAACCAGAACGACACGATGCGTTCATTTTAATGAACGCACAGTTAACTTACGCTTATGGCGACAAATCAATACAAATAATGTCAAACTGGTAGTTTTTTTTTTTGGTAAATTCAGAGATTTGTATCACATTTGTGTCATAATTTTATCTAATTTATTTTGTATATAGAATTTCGATTGATTACAGTAGCAAAGAACAATATGATAATTGAGAAAATAAACCTACAAAAAACATTTGAAACAAGACAAGTGACTCGTGACTTTGCTACATTTATTTTTATTGTTTATTATTATCATTAAAATAATATGAAACATAGAATGAATTAACAATCTTCACTAGAACAAAGTGATTCAATATTTTTCCTACAGTTTGTCGTCAGACCAAATACGTGTAATAGCGGTATAAGAATATCCCTAATCCCCCTATCCCTAGTGTCGCTAAGCACAGGGACAAATTTTCTAAAAAAAATTAACACCTTAAAATAAAGGCTGATATCATCTTGTTTACTGTCCTCTCTTTTCCATTTAGATTTTACCCGCAGATATGTCTCGAGATTATTTGCAACAATTTCATACAATTCGCGGACGCTCTCGTAGAAAGTAAATAATGATAAACATTTCTAGGAAAGCCGCTTAATTTTCAGCGCCATTGTGCCTCGCCTTTGTCTCTGTTTCGCGGCGGAACCCGACCCGCTTTTGTTGGATGAAACGACGGCTCGCGGGAGCCGGCGTAACTTGACCCAATTGTGTTACAATTCTTTTAGCTTTTTATCCTGCGCGCCTTATGAGATTTGATGGACTTAAAGATGACTGACTCTAGGAAGTGTTCCTAGTTTATTATTCTTTTATGTGTGGACTTGAAAAGAAGTTTATTAGCCAGTTATAGTTATTAAAAATATAAATTACATTTTCTTGTGTATACGATGCTATTATGATTTTTGATTTTATATAAGAGGAGGCAAAGAGCATACGGCATATCCTAGTATCGTAGCACAATAATCCTATCGCCCATGAACATCTGCAGCACCATAAATTTTGGGATACCTTGTGGGTCGTGCGTGCCAGCATCATGTTTTTGCAATTTAGACTTACATCGCAGTGTATGGTAGTAGAATTTAGAGGCTGGAATCAACCCAAACAATTTATCGAAGGAATATGTCGGAGAAAATACAAAGATAATATAGTATATTAACCATTGATTCATTTTAAGACCGACCATAGTGTAGTAACGCTGCAAAAATATGTCACGTCTAGTGAGTGACGATAGAGGCGACAGAGGAAAGCAGTTGACAACAGGAGATGGGAAGCAGCATAATATTCCTAGTTACAACTCAAAATTATACAAATTGCGGGTGCCAATCCACGTGCCAAGCGAGGAGACTATGACCTCCCCCCATGAGTTAATCAATGAGACAGCCCTATGTTCAGCAGAGGACTGAAAGCTGAATGGAATATTATGACAGCAATATATTAAGTATTGAAAGATTTTATAAAACAATAATTATTTAACGCAAATAAATGATTTTATTTTAATGAAATTAAATTAATGAAATAGTTGGTAAACTAAGTCTTTTTTACAACTCTCTTACAAATTTTCTGTTCAACGCTCATACATATCTCTGTACGAGAAAGTAATAAAATAATACTTCCTTGAAGAGTACATAATAGGTATATGAATAGGTTCTTGAATATGTACATGAGCTTCATTATAAATGTCAAGTTCGGCGACAGCTAATCTGCATACAACACAACAGTCATTAATTCGTTACGTTCATTGATGTTCTTTAGATACCTGAATTTAGCTCTAGTTTTTTTTTACAAAAGATTGAACAAACAGCAAAAGCAGAACATGCGGCTTCTCTGATGATAAATGAACGAATACCTGTTTATGGATCTCTTGTAAATATTATAATTGTTTAGTCAATGTAAAGAAAATAAGGCAAATATAATATTAATAATATTAGAATTTGAAAACATTAAAATCTTTTCCTTCGCTATGTGCGTATTTTCAGTTTTTCATTAATCAGCAATTCTAATTAAATTTGCGGCTGCAGGAAAACACGCGCCGAGGTCGACAGTAAAGTTAAAGTACGACAATAAATTCCTAATATCTGTTCATTTTTCGCTGTCTCGACTCGCAGCCTTAAAACTTGTCGTAACTTGTTTATGCTGGAATTTTTCCCTCGGATATATTTGTCGTTCGCATTTATCAGCAAGACGGAGGCCACAGATATTGTAGCAGCTTCCTTGTTACGTTTCCGTTAAACTTCGTTTTCTATCACCGGCATTCGTTTCTTACATATTACTGTCTCAGTTTGCGCAATTTTGAAGGCCGTACAGTGAATATAGGTACAAAGTTAGATTTATATGTTACACAATATTTAAAACAGCTTAATACTGCCATGATTCTTATGATATGTGTTGAGAATAGGAGACCTATTTACTGAAAACGAGGCATTCCATCTTAGTCCTCAGGGGTGACAAGACATTTACTTTTGATACTTAATCGAGGATAAATGTAGACGTGTATGGGCCACAGTATCCATTTAACATCAGGTGCACTGTGTGCTCGTAAGAAATTTTAGTGTCTTTCATTTCAGATTATCATTCTAGGGTATTTAATAGATAAATAAAAAGAACATTAGTGAATGTTTGTCTGAAATTAGATAAATATATTCATAATACACAAAATAAAATGCAACATGTGTACACAAAATGTAAGTTATTACAAAAATAAGTGATATTCATTACTAGATTCCACAGAAAATTCCAGAAAATTTTTAATAGCCGCCGCTAAGTTGCATACTCCCATAGAAATAAGGTGGTAGCTACCAAGCTATAAAAATTTACTTTCAGAATGTATTGTTTATAATCTATGTTGAGTAAAAAAATCTATTTTATTCTATTCTACTTCTATCAAAAAATGTATTGTTATAAATAAGAAAGGAAGATAAAAAAATAAATGAGGTTGGAAGTAAAAACCACTCATTTGTTCGGACAGTATAAGGTGTGGCGCAGACAACCAACTTACATCAGTTATTCTAAGGAGTCTTAATTGCTGTCGTGACCATGAACGGTTGAAGTTCTTTTAGTTCAAATAAAGAGGTAGATTTCAGAGTAATTTGTCGGCGAGGTTGCCTTGCTTTGAGTTTACATACCTTATTTATTTTGGTGATTTCTTGTATTTAATTTCAACTGCTCACTGTTTTATTGTAATATTTTATAACGTATGCTATAAGAATGTTTTTGAAGAACGTATACTATTATTTAACCTACTTATGTTAACCCCTTCTTTGCCCCGTGCCCTATTTAGTGGTGATTGCTATTGTCTTACTGAAAAGAAAAATAATATGTCCTAAAGATGTTTTTGCTCACATGTGTGTACACATACAATTACACGTACTATTTTTTTAATTAATAATTTTGAGAGTAATCTCTAAGAGGTTTTTAACGTGGTAGAGCCACGGTGCAGTTATATTATGCTTGTAGCACTATTGGGTCGACTCGACCGGGGATGGATGGACCACGTTGTTACAGAATACCAGCGTATAATTGCAGCTTAATGCTTTTGGGTTTCGTATGGCTAGTGTAGAAAACCGGAGTAAATTAAGAAATCATTGCACAACATCTACTTTTTTTTTCAAAAGTATTCTTACATATTTGCTTGATTTGTACCATTAAACCAATAATGGTTTGTATTGGTACTCACATTCGCAACTAACGCACTGCTTTACATAAAAATACGCCTTCTTTATTGTGTAAGTGGTAAGCACCCATTTACAATTCTCACCTGGGACTATTCTTACCATGAGATGGTATATATATATATATATATACCCATAAATATAAATTGTAGAATACAAAAATAATACACCGACTAACGCCCGAACCTAATATTCGATCTTAATCTATTTTTAGCTATCCAAGATTGATAATTCAATCCATTTTATGGTTAGACAGTGCCAACAACCAATCCAGGGATTAAAATTACAATCTGTAGAAGCAAGCTATCCTCGGGAGGTCGGATTACAAAAAAAGATAGACCTCTGTGGGCGAATGACAATTTGTGTGTATCAATAACCTATCTGTCAATTTTGACGTTTAGTTCGATCGGTGTAAACAATCCAAATTCGCAATCCGAGAAAAGCCTAGGATTAATCCTTCGAGTTCCAACCGATTACGTATTTTGTTTTATTTTATTTGCGCAAAAATGGATTTAACATTACTATCTAGTGACAGTGACAGTGATTTGGAAATGCTAGCTCAGTTATCTGACTCGAGTGATGAAGATGAAACCCTACGCCGCACTCCAAAGAGAATCAGAAGAGTGAACTATACGCAAAGTCTCGATGACGGTGATTTTACCTTTAGGTTTCGATTGAACAAACATGCGTTCAATTCTTTATTGTTAGAAATAACCCCATTATTACGAGTAACATCCACGAGGTAAAGCAAAGCTGGTCTATAGCAAATTAGATAATTTTTTACAATCTAAGTATATAATATACTTCATTTTATGTAATCCTTTGCAGAAATTACGGAGTTTCACCATTGCATCAACTTTTGTTGACCCTACGGTTTTATGCACTAGGCACAATGTTGATATCCGTAGCAGATTTTGTTGGAGTTTCAAAATCTACAGCAGGCAGAATAGTGCGAGACACATCATCAGCAATTGCCCAATTATATGATAAATATATTTATGTTCATCGAAGGAGTGCAGACAAATTCTATAGAATTGCTGGATTTCCTCGCGTGCTTGGGGCAATTGATGGCACACATATCCGCATACAGTCTCCTTGTAAGTAACTATACTCAACTCTTCTTAAAATTTTGGCAAATATGAATAAACTATGAAGTTGCTAATAATAATGTTTATATATTTTAGGTCATTTAATAGGCGAAGAATACAGAAATCGGAAGGGTTACTTTTCATTAAATGTTCAAGGTGTTTGTGATGCAGACTTAAAGTTTATAAATGTTGTGGCTCGTTGGCCTGGTTCTACGCATGATGCAACTATATTTAATAACTCTATTCTGAGAGGTAGGTGTAAATAATATGTATTCAAATTGTAATAAATTTGAATATTTACTGTCAGAGCCTAATATTCTTTGTTTTTATAACAGCTGAATGTGATGCAGGGCAATTCGGAAATCGCTGGTTACTTGGAGATAGTGCCTATCCAAACAGGCCATATTTATTAACACCTGTTCTGAATCCAGTTTCTGAAGCTGAACATAGGTACAATGAAGCACACATTAAAACTAGAAATACTATTGAACGGTATGTTAAATAAAACAGTATTATTAGATAAAATGTGTTATGGGAATACTGGTGTTTAATAAACAAATTGTTTGTATTACAGAGCATTTGGAGTATGGAAACGTAGGTTCCCTGTTGTAGCTCTTACACTACGTTTGTCAATACCAAATATGCAGGCGGTAATAATAGCAACTACAGTCCTACATAATATTTGCAGAAATCACAATCTCACAGAAATCCCCTCTGAAGTAGAACTACCATCTATCGACAATAGTACAATGCCTCATAATGTAGTTGTTAATGATATTCCTACAAACCATAGAACTGATTTGATAAATAATTATTTTATGACATTATAGAAACGTTGACACTCATTGGACAAATAACTGCCTTAATTAACTTTACAGGTAAAAACAATTATGTAGAATAAGTTAGAAATTAAATTGTTAGTATTTTCTTAGTTTTAAATTCAAATGTAAAAATAAAGCAAGTATTAAAAATTAATTTCTCTATTAAAAATACACATTAATTACTATATTATTATACTACTGAGATATTTATAAAAAGGAACTTAAATTATAACTGCCTTCTACTACTTCTATACCACATATGTGAGTAATAGTACTTAATCTTTTTAAAATATTGTTAAATTTAAATAAACTGTGAAGTTCCTATTAAGTGTTACTTTTCTTTATAAATTGTTTGTGAATTTAATTATATTTATTTAATTTTTATTATAGTAATTAATGTATATTATAAAAATTACATTAATTACAGTACATTAATTACTATAATATTGATAAATTTATATAAAAGAAGTCAAATAATTATAACTACCTTCTATGTTTTATAATAGTCTCCATGTAACTGTGTCCTGGCGACTAACTAGAAATCAGAAATCACAAGTGGTACTTTTCTTTAAATGTATTTTATTTAAAGAAAAATTCAAACTCAAAGCTTATGAACAATGTAGCTCATCGGTCTCCTTACCAACTGCATAAAGCAACTATTTTTTGTTAACTGTTTTGAGATGCGGGTGCAAATAATATGTATTCAAATTGTAATGTGATGTGATGCAGGCTTGCACTGATGTTATAAGGTTAAAAATTGAATGTAGAATCAGTTGTTATTTTTTATTAAAGTTTGTAAATTTAATTGTAAAAATTTAAAAATCAATAAAAATTATTTATCTCTATTAAAATACAATTATTACTATAATACCTAGACATTTATAAAAAAAAGTATTTAATTTGTAACTACCTTTTCCTCCTTTTTATACCACATATCATCCACATAATAGTCTCCAAGTAAGTAAAAATACTTACCCTTTTTAAATTTTTGTTCAATTTAAACACGAGTTGCTAATAATAATATTTATATATTATAGGCTATTTAGCAGGCAAAGAACTCAGAGATCACAAGTGTTACTTTTCTTTATATTTTGTGAATTTAATTGTAAAAATAAAACAAATATTCAATAAAAATGATTTTACTCTTTAATTACTATATTACTAAGACATTAATCTAACTTTAATACATTTATTACATACATATTTTATTGGTTAAAAGATTTTCAAATACAAACTATATAACTACTAATATTACAAATCATGAATACATACAAAGCTTGAATTTATTAACAACTACTTACAGACATGACTGTCTTTTATGTATCAGAAGTTGCTGTAGCATTAAACTGCTCGGCTATTCGTACCCACTCTTTGTCTTTCATTTTATTGCTGCTGGCGTTTGTGGCTTTAGATATTATAATTTTGCTCATTTCAATAAGTTCGAGTAAGGCTTTGCTTTCATCTTTTGAAAGTGGCTTGCTCTTTGTCTGAAATAAAAAGCGATTTATGTAGTTGTACATCAAGCATCAAATGATACAATATCTAATGTATTACAATTTAACTTACTATTTGTGGCTCCATTATTTTATTATTCAAAAAGTATTTGCTGTAAATATTTCTGTTCTCGAACTGTGATCGAACCGAAGCAGTGAAACTTGATAATTGTTTTGACCGACGCGAAACGCGATGAGCGATGACCGATGACGCTGCGGCCGCTACTGACCGGCGGCGTTCCGTTACGTGATTGTTTTCAAACCATAGTTACATTGATTTAAATAAAAATATAATCATTTTATAATTTTAGGGAGAAAAAAGGAGTTAATGTAATAACTTCTAATTAAAGTCAATAGTTATAAATCTAAAATTACATTTTATGTTATTATATTAATACAACTATTTGAAAGAAGCAATAGTCGCTATGCATAAAACGAAACAGTCGAGAGGAAACGGATCGATCCAAACATCTGTTTGGATCGACTGCGATCGCCGCAAAAAAAAGATTGGGCTTGTTAAGTTATGTTATTGGGATGTGGATTTGGATCGATCTTTGTATAGGGTACAATCTCGGATTGCTATTAATCCTAAAAAAGAGATACGTTATTAAGTTCGGGCGTTAGCGTCACGAATCCTAAAGGGAAGTGAATTCCACAATCGTACGTTAACAGTAAAAAAATGAGAATAGAGCATTGTATTGAAAGATGGATATCGTAACAGTGTTCTAGTATATGATCTACAAGGAACATCTGAAGGATGAACAAAAGTAAAACGATTCTTTAGATAGAGCGGAATATGAAGATTATTTAGGATATTGAAAAGAAGACAGAGGATTGTAATGTTCCGGCAAAGGCGGATGGAGAGCCATTTGAGCTGCTTGCAATAAATGATAACAGAGACGTGATCGAACTTCTTTAAGTTAAAAATGTATCGAATGTTTACATAAATTTTGCAAGCACTCGAGTTTATAAATTTGCTCCTCGGAAGCATCCAAAAAATCCAAATGCCATCAGCGTAATCTAAAATTGGCAAGATAAGGGTCTGGACTATAGATATCTTAGCAGACAAAGGTAGAAAACTTTAAATGCGTTTTGAGCTGAGTGAGAAAACTGTGAAATATTTTTCTGCTTACATCCGTAACATGTGTGCCCCAAGTCAAATTGCAGTAGAAAATAATACCTAGGTTCTTGGCAGTATCTGAGTAGAGAATAGTGGCGCCATCGATTCGTAGAGTTTGGAGAGAGAAGAAATCAAGCGTGCCACGCGCATATCTTTTGCCTTTTATCAAGGCCTGGGATTTAGTTGGGTTTAATGTGAGACCAAATGATCTCAATCATTCGCTAATCTTATATAAGTCGTCATTCATAGCTTCAATCGCCAAGTTGGCTTCAGATGCCACAAAATTACGATATGACTGCAAATCGTCAGCATAAAGGTGGTAGTTAGCTGATATGACCTTGGTTATACAATGGCAAAAAGCAGAGGAGAGAGAACTCCACCTTGAGGTACAGCTGCAGTTACATTATACCATTGGGAGTATATTTCACCTGAACGAACACATTGTGATCGATTACAAAGATAGGAGTCAAACCATTGAATAACAGATCTAGACACATTAACCGTCTTAAGAATATTTATAAGTATATCAAAATCAACAGAATTGAACTCACTGCTGAAATCTAGTAAAATCAGAACTGTTAAGTATCCATGGTCCATATTCCAACGGATTTCGTCAGTAAATTTAAGAAGGGCAGTTGTAGTACTATGACCGGGTCGGAAACCAGATTGATATGGATATAAAATATTATTGCTGTTGAGAAATACAGTATAATTAATATAATTTAGAAAAAAATTGCAAGATTGAAATAGGACGAAAGTAAGAGGGAGATGGAGGATTGGATATCTTACGGATAGGAATAATGTGTGCTAATTTCCATGACGATGGAAAACAACAAGAAGATTAAGAGAAATTAAAAATGTGTGTAAGAACAGGAAGAAGAAAAGAGAGGATAGACGTTATCATATTGGAGCATATGCCGTCATTTCCAGCGGCCGTTGATGATATAGCTAAAATTGATCGGTTGATATCGTCTTCAGTGACTAAAGCAAAACCAAATGTGTCACACTGCAGAACTGAGTGCTTAGTCAATTCTAAAATTGGTACTTACTATGTGCTCATTTTTCATCTCTTTCCTTTAAAAAAAAACATCCTTTTTAGTTTGAACAACCTAACATTGTAATATTAGAACATCACATGCCATGCCATTTTCTAAAGAATCGAAGCAGCTTTTAAAATGTTTCTATGCGTTTCGCTTCACAATAGCAATTGTTTTCAACAACTGCAAAAGACGGTAATGTGGCACGCCAGCGACGCGAGTTTGTTCTTGTCTGGAGTACCGTGACCCACATACTGAGTGGCGCTGTTTTACTCTGTGACCGCATCAGCTATTGTTTGCTCGCCTGAATACAAGTCTGCAATTTATTCGTGTGTTCTTAAGAGGATATATTTATGGACATTCCTGTTTGGATATTACACTGTGTGAATTAATAAGTGTTAATAACTTTCAATTCAACAATTTTATTTTCATTAAAATATTGACACTGACATAAAAGCTGTCATCATTACTCTGCGGCAGTCCATTGCTAGACGTAGGCCTCAAGGCATTCCTTAAAAACTAGTTTGTACGAAATTCAAATTCCCTTGATTTTAAAATCTTTGCAAAGGAATTGTCCAAAGTAAATAATAGATTATGTTTTTTATTTTTTTTAACTACAATTGATACAATGAAACTATATTTTGGTGTGAAGATCAGCCATTGAAGAATGCTTGAAGTGCTTTTTTTCTCTCTTAAATTTGAAATGAATTGAAAATGAAAATTCATTCTATAGTAAATTTCATTTTTTACAAATGAAATTTACTATAGGATGAATTTGCTATAGGCGTTATCGATTTATGGAAGCATTTCGACACTAAAGTTTTGCAAACGAAATTTAATTTCTCACGTCCAAAATAAAGAAATACACGGTTTTTATTTAAATTTATCCTTTTATGTAATAAGATATTTATTACATAAAAATACTTTTTATGTAACAATTTCGATTTTTTTATAGATTAAGGGTGACAAACGACCACATAGTTCACCTGATGGTAAGTGGTTACTGTGGACCATTGACATCTTCATCTATCCTCGATTAAGAACTAAAGTGCAGATGCGTTGTCACCCGTAAGGACTAAGATGAAATACCTCGTTTCCAGTAAAAAGGGTCTCCGGTTCTCTACACCCACCATACAAGACACAAAAAAGACGGAGAGCAAATTTTTATGAGTGTAGATAAGGATGTTCATGAATATTTTTTAAGTCTTTTTTCATTTTTCAACAATTTTTCACCTTAAAACAGTATTATGCAACAAGAACTTTACTGTAAAAACCTGACTTAGAAAATGTAATACTGTCAAAAAGAATTCCGTGTTGATCATTTATCACAGTCACCCGCGGCTTCGCAATTTGCTCGCGCCGCCCGACTCCGGGCACTCCGTGCGACCGTTTGCCGTTGTGATAAGAATTTTATTTTGAGCCGCCTCCTCCGCTATATATAGAGTTTAAACCTGCCAACAACGTGGCGATGTTCATGTTATTTGTAGCCGACGAACATAACGCTTGTCAAGTTAATATTTTTACCTCTATTTCGTTGGCCCGGTAGTATGTCTGAAAATTGTTCGCTTGTGCTCATAAAAGTTTGCTCTTAAGTTTATACTGCGAGAGAAGCGACTTCATTTCAGATGTGATGCAAAATAAAAGACATAAAACCTACACACACGAAATTCACCCTTTGCGTACAAGCATACACATATGTTAAGTTTATTGCGCTATATGATACATTAATAAAAAGAGAAGATTCTTCTTATTGTGTACCAGTGACCCAACCTGGCTTTGGACCGACGATTTTTAGATCTCGAGAAAAGCATGTATTAAACATATGAACCTTCCTCTTCAATCATTCTGTCTATAGATGAAAACTGTCTTATAATCGTAAAAAGTAGTTTCAAAGATCTAAACGTACAGACGGCAGGTAGTGACTTTGTTTTATACTATGTAGATATTAAAGATTCCTATTTAAATCTTGAGAGCTCATAATTTAAACTTTTATGCGTAAATCAAGTTCAAGAACAAGTGATTACTCTGAAAGTATTCAAGTTGTCAAGTAATTATAGTTCACTAAATGTATAATAAGGTCTTAATATTTATTGCAAGTGGTACTTATCACCTTTGACTAGCGTTGTAAAATAGCTTTAAGTATGTAAAAAATTACAAATTAACAAAAATTTTCATATTATAATTATTAATAAAATAATCTTACTACATATTATATTAAACAAGTTTATACGACAGCATAAAATTAAGGTTATTTCAAATTCATTGTTGAAAAAACTTTTTTTATAGGAGAGGGGTCGAAAAACCATATGGCTCACCTGATAATAAGTAATAACCGTCACCCATGAACAACTACACACCAGGGGAGGCGCAGGTGCGTTGTCGGCCTTTTAAAAAAGAGTAGGCTCTTTTCTTGAAGGCCCCTAAGTCGTATCAATCCAGAAAAATCTCTGGTGGTAGTCGATTCCACAAGCAAGTTGTGCGCGGAAGGAAGCTTCTTTTAAATCGCAAAGTGGTGGACCGCCAGTCATCGCTATGGTATGGGTGGTATCGCGAGCTTTGTCCCAATGTGCGATGGTGAGATTCTGCAGCTGGAATTAGTTCTAACAATTCCTCAGAGCACTCCCAGTGGTAAATGCGAAAAAATACGCAACGAGTTGCAACATCTCTTCGCTGTGTTAGTGAGTCAAGCCGATCGAAATGAGCTCGTTCGAAGACAATTAAAAAGGGCTTTGCGCTGGATGCGATCGAATGGGAGGAGCTGGCAATGGGGAGCCTAGAGTTGGAAACAGTATACCATGTGCGGCTGAACTTGCGCCTTGTAAAGTTGAAAGCTATGT